GGCCACGGATTTGCTTGACTACGCGTGAGGAGGCCGGTGCGTCCAGCGTGGTGATTGCACAGCAGATGTTATAGGATGGCTAAAGAGGGGGGCAGACACAAGGGCACCGGTGGATTCCAGAGGCAAGGTTGGCACGCGCAAGTGCGAGACATGAGACTTAACCAGGTTCGAGGCTCTCCGGAGAGATAACACCCCTAGTTCTGCCGAGTGTGGTTTATATAATGTGGATACAAGCTTGCTCCTAGAGCTGTTTTTGGGAGGAAGGAAGACAGGTTAGTGCATAGACTGCTCCCTCCCCGGGTGTGTATGTGTATGGATTCTACTGGTGATCGCCCGTATACATGGAGGGGCACCGGGGGGAGGGGGGGTGTCTTATAGGCTGGCCCCCGGGGTTACAATGGTAAAGTTACATGGGTGTGGGGCCCTGGTGCCAGTGTCTAGAAGCCGGCGGTGGGGGCCGCCTGGGCGTCGGTTCTGCCGGGTACTCCGGACGCAGGATGCGCCAGGTCCGTCGGGTGCGGGCCGTATCGGCGCCGCCGGGCGCAGGTACGACCAGCTGCTTGGTACTGTGGCGCTCCTCGCCAGGCGTCATCGGGCGACGCGCGCCGTCCCGCTAAAGGGCCGTGCCCCCAGGACACCGCCCGCCCCGAGCGGGGGGATGGGAGCGCCACTGCCGCGCTCACCGGGGCCGGCATAAAGGAGGACACACTGTAGCCATACTGGCTTATCGCCGAGGGTTGACTTCTTGTGGACGGCCGGCATGCGCTAGCCGGCCGGCCGGGTTGCGGCACCTGGCCGTGTCGCGCTAGGGAGCCAACTAGGTGCGGGCCGGATTGAGGGGCTTTGCGATGTTTTTAAAAGAGATACGGGTTCCTTTGCCTGCCCAGGGGCCATCCCCCGACAGAGGCAGGGTAGGCGCATCAGCACCAGTAGGAGGATGTCGTCGGGGAGGACGCTGATGGGGAAGCCATCTCGTGTTGCACGCCGGCGGCGAGCTGAGGCGACGCTCTGATTTGGTTTCCATGGATCCCAAGGCTTACTGAAGTGCAACGCAGTGCACCCTGAACTTCTAAATGCCTACAGAGATCGCCCCAATTAACAATGCCCAGGCCCATAACTGGCCAATGCCTCCCTACAGTATAGCCCACCCGATGGAAGTTTGTTGATCTGGTAAGAAAATCTGATAAACAATGACATCTTATTCCACTACTAAGCTCAACATTACGGCATGTGTTTACAGCTAAATTTTATCTATGAAAACCAAATAAAGATAAATCAATCGATCAGAGCGGAGCGGATCGAAATAATACGAAAGGCACTGACATAGCTTTAGAGAATCTTGAAGAAACAAATGTGGGACTACGTTCAAAAAGAATATGTAGGGTATAAGATTAACAATATGGCTGCATGTCTCGCAGAAAACATTGATGTTGCATCTAGGAGCATGCTAACCATGGGCACGCCGAACCGGTTCACCGGAGTAGAAATAAGCATAGCAATCCACGGAAGGACGCGCTAAGAAAATATTGTAAATTTTTCTGATGCTGCCTCGAAAGTTCTCTCTATAAACCCCTTTTGCCAACTTGACAGTCATTGTTCTAAGCATTGGAGCACATCCACATAGCAATGCCAACAAATCAAGCTGGCAATGCTCTCCTTTGAAGCCACATATTTCCACTTCTTTAAGACGAGGCATTGCGATACTTTGGATTATCCGGTTCTTAGGTTCGTCGCAAGGACAATTTCCCCATGCTTTTCTCTCCTGGGACAAATGAAAAAAGTGTTACAACGCGTCTTCTTATCTTATACTCCCTTCGCTTTTATTTACTCCGCGTGGTAGTTTTTGACCTAAGTCAAATTTAATAAAGTTTGATCAAGTTTATCGGAAAAAAATAAACCTTGACAATAAAAAGTTTATATGGGTATGAAAATATAAATAATGATGATTCTAATGATATTGACTTGGTATATGTGGATGTTAATTTTTTTGATATATACATGATCAAAGTTTAGAAAGTTTGACCAGCCGATACAAAGCTAATATGTGAAGTAAATAAAACGTAGGGAGTACTAAAGCTCGGACCTTCTCTCAAGAACATACCACAGAAATTGCAATGAACAAGCAGGACAATATGCATGTAATAAGACATACAAAGAGCGTGAAGTATTACCCCGTGGTAATAATATAGGTTGACCTTAAGCCTTTGTGTAGCGGTTT